CAACTTGAAAACCAACCAATTTGTAAAACAAAAGTTAAAAACAGTTCCATAAGCAATCCTATACTGTATTGTAAAACAGTAGAGTTGGAAGGGGCCACAAGGGCCATCTGTAAGCCATTCTGGAATAGAATCATAGGGCTGGAAGAGACCACAGCACTAAACAATTTTAAAAACATTTAAAAATAGGACCATGATAGTAATGGTATGGGGCATGTGTGTGTGCCTTCAAGTCGACTGTCAATTTATGGGAACCCCATGAATTTCACAGGGTTTTCTTAGGAATCCTCGGAGGTGGTTTTGCTAGTTTCTTCCTGTTGAATATAGTTCGCAATACCTGGTCTTCTTTGGTAGTCTCCATCCAAGTACTGGCCACAGCTGGTCCTTCTTACTTTCCCAGATCAGACGGTTTCTGGGAAATACCTTTGGGGCATTTAGGTTGCCATATACGCCATCAAAAAACCCTTGTGCACAAGTAGTTTACTGCCCGTTGTTGTTGTGTACAACATTCAAGTCGTTTCTGACTTATGGCAGGTCCCTTCCTCCCTTGCACCTCTTCCTCCCCACTGCCATAAGGGTTAAGAGGATGTCACAGATAGAAAAATAAATGCTACAGAAATAAAATAAAATAAAAACAGGGGTGGCAGGCACAAGGAGCCAAAATGCTAAGGATGCAATTGAGAAAGCATGCAAGTGCTCTTGGTATGTTGCGGGGGGAAGTTAATAGAATTTCTTTGCCTATTGATATATATACAGTCTCATCCAAAATCCATTTTTGATGACTTTGGTTGATACTGGATTTGGATTTTGGATGATATTGTACGTTATCTCTTGGTGGTTAGGACACTCACAAGTCACTTTTCCTCCAGCTTTCCTACCTGGGCTGTTTTGTTAAAGCCTGGAGGCTGAAATGATTTCTTCCCAAATGTTTATGCATATATTTTTAAACTCTTTATGTTTTGGATTAGGTGGGGTTGGGTTTTTCTTTTAGTTGTTAAGTTTGTATTGGGTGGCTTATGGTTGATTGAACATTTAGGAGAGAATAACAATCATTGTAGCAGAACAGATTTATAGAATAACGGACACTTTCTTAAAATTTCTGCAATGAAAAAAAAAACCTGATGTTTTTTCCATATAATTTATTGATTCAATGATAATAATATAAAGTTTTGAGTAGTGATTTGAGTGTTGGACTAGGACTTTGGGAGACCAGAGATAATTCCTGCTCAACCCTGGAAACCCTCTGGTTGACCTTGGGCAAGTCACACCCTCTCAGCCTCAGAAGAAGGCAATACAAACTCCCTCTGAACAAATGTTGCCAAGAAAACTCTGTGATAGATCAGTGTTTTCATGGCATTTAGATGGGGGGGGGGTGCCTTTGGCTTCTGTCTCACGACTTGCCCAAGATCACCCAGTGAATTTCCATGGCAGAGGGGGGATTTGAACTCTGGTCTTCAGGAGCAAACCGTCACACCATGCTGGTTCTCAGTTTACTGCCAAACAGTGGTTTAAATTACAAAGATGTTTACTTGCTTAGCAGAAGGAGGAGGACCAAGGGGAGGGTGACCAGCCAAGGATTTGGTGGGAGGGAGTTCCACAGCCCTGGGAACAGCCACCAAGTAGACCCTCTCATGTGTCCTCATCAAATGGGCCCCAGGAGCATTGTAATGAATGTTAGACTGCAAGCTCTTAGTCATTCTCTGCAGAAGTGTGAGTCCTGCATTTGTTGTTGTTAACTGCTCTTGAGTTGATCTCGACCCATGGCAACCCTGTGGACCCCTATCTTCTACCTCTCTGCTCAGTTCCTGCAAATTCATACCCGTGACCTCCCT